ACCGCGCAGCGGCCTTGCTCGTCAAGGTTCGTGTTTCGGAGTTATAGAGTTGAGAGAGGGTTATAACCACAAATAAGTAGCCTCCTCGTCTGTAGTGGCCTTCTCGGCCTTGAGGAGGTGAATTAAAATAAAAAAATAAAAAAAAAAACTGTTTCATAGACCACGTTTCATAGATCACGCACGCACCAAAGTAAGTATTTTCAGCCAGTATAGTTTTATCCACTTTGCTGGGATGTAACTATACTGGCTGGTAAATTAGTAAATTACCGCAACAAAATAATCCTGACTGTATAATATTGGTATAGTAAGTATTTATAAATCGAAATTAAAGAAAGATAAATAAACATTTGGTTATTTGTCCTAAACATTGAAAAAAAAAATTTTTTTTAATTATTTTCCGTTTCAACTACTGCTGCCTAGCCAGCACATCAACGATGAAATAATGTTGAAACTTTTATTAAAAAATGGTTGATTTTTAATTAAAATGGAAGCGTAAATATACGTAGAAACCAAACGTTAGATCATCGTTAAAAACAAACAAAAAATCAACGTAGATTAACGTTGATTTAGCGTTGATTCAACGAACTTTTATTCGAGTTTATGAAACTTAAAAATAAAACTTTTTTTGCCGTGACTCTTTTAACCCCCAAAACATTTATTTCTTGTACAATATAGTGTTGTTGTGAATAAAATATTATAACGAAACAATAATTCTTCATAAACTTATAATAGCTGTCATAGTACAATATCTTATGCTATTGTACTCTACATCTTATTCTCAGTTGTTACAGCTTTCACTTATTATTATTAGTTGACTTTATATTAAATTATTATTGGTCATTGTGTTAACGCAGATAACCAAATTATAATTGAAAGCAAATAAAACCAAAAAAAAATAATAATAATATAAACAAAAAATTATCCATAATAAAAATTTTTAAAACAATCTTGATAAAATCATTTCATCGTTTCTTCATCATCGATATCAAAATCAACTGAGTCTTTATTGTCTTCAGTCATCAGACTTTCATATTGATTCAAATCACGTTTTCCGTTATCCAATCGATATGATGCAAACTTCAAATAGCCTGCAATATATGTTCGTGCATTATGGGTTTTTTTTAAACATCGGGTAACTGAAATTACTAAATAAAAACTAAATATAAACATGCCTAAAGTAAGGTACTCGTCTATTTTACAAGTATTACGATGTCACGATGTTTCCGATAACTCAAACCTCCGGGAGACCTAGGAACACAGTTCGACTAAACGAATGTTCGAGTTAAGTGATGTATAACTGCCTTCAAGTGACCAATAAAAGAATAAAAATATATGAAATTCAAATTCTTTTGCTTCTCTGTAAATATATGAAACTCAAATTCTTTTGCTTGTTTTGTATTAGATCCGGTCAAATTAAACTTTGTTTTCAGTTTATTTCCCATTAACATGTAAAGAAAAAATAAATTTAATCAAGAAAATACAGTAAAAAAAAAACTCAAATCACAAATAAACTAAATAAATGAAATACTCTAATTACAAATAAACACAAAAAATAAATAAATAATGAAATCATGGCAAAATATGCTAATAATCAGACGAGAATACAACTGAGTGATTAGAGTTTACTAACTCTAATCACTCAGTTGTATTCTTAACCTTGCATTGTATAACCCTAAATAAAGTTGTATTCTTAATCTTGTATTGTATAACCCTAACCCTAACCCTAGACAAACCAATCCAGACTAGTCTATTTAAAACAAATTAATCCAGACTATTCTATTTAAAAGGAATCCGATTCTCAACAGGTATATCGAAATATACCTTTTTAATGCCTTTGTAATTTAGAATGTAGAACTGAATCAAAAGCTTTCTAAAAATCAAAATAAACAATATCAGTAGAAATGTTGCGCAGCCCAGTCATGAAGACTTTTAAGAATGTTAGTGCAAGTACTACGTTTACGAATAAAACCATTTTATTATTAATAATTCTTTCCAGTACACGGCAACAAGTATATGTCAATGAGATAGGTCTATAATTACTTGGATCAACTGTTGGTCCCTTTTTATGTATTGGAACAACATTTGCTATTTTTCAGCATATCGGTAATACACCATATTTAAATGAGGTAACAAACAAATGAAAAAAAATGGACTGCTAAAATTTTGGCACAGAGATTTAATAGATCATTTAGAATGCTATCTGGACCAGTAGATGTAGTAAGTTTTAATTGATCTGAATGTTTTTATACAGTAAAAGGAGAGAAGTTTATCGATGGCAGGCAAGTTGTACTTACATGAATACAATCCATAAACTTTGGCGATGAACCGTTATCAACATATAATCATGTGCAAAAAATTCATTAAAAGTACCCGATATATTTTCTTTATTTTGTGAAAAAGTATTATCCGATCGACAAATCTCAGTCAGTTTACTAATCGTTTTAAGTTTATTATATGCAATATTAAAGAAACAACCAAGATCGTTTTTGCATATCATCTTTAGTTCTTTTGCTGCATGATATGTTTTAATAGCATGAGAAAATTTTGAGGAAATTGATTTATAAGCGGCTTTGTCGTCAGGTTGACCTGATATTTTTAATCTCTTCAATGCATTTACAACCTAAATCAAAAAACGACATTTAAATTATCTAAACAAGTATGACTTGTTTACATAATTTAAATGATCAAAATAATAATTAATATAACATTTAAACTTAATCAAAATAATAATTAATATAAAACTTTAAATAAAAGTTTTAAATAATAAATTATAAAAAATTATAAAAAATTAAATAATAAATTATAAAAAATTTTAAATAAAAAATTATAATAAATAAAAAGCATAATTTCTTGAAATTAAATTATACAAATATATTTAGTATCAATAAATAACAATAATTAAATGTTTTACATTGGAAAAATAAATTCATGTCCATTTATTTCTTTATTTGAATAGTAAGTAAAAAAGAATTTTGGTTGCATTTATTATATCAAAGAATTCCATTCTTTGATATAATAAGTGCTTCTGCAATAAATTCTGTCGTTTCATATTCACAAACAAAAACAGCCACAATATCATTGTTAGTTTTTATTACAATAAAAAAGAGAGACAGCGCATATCTTATTGTCCAGAAATAGCATCAAGAAAAATTAAGCTCATTCCCATACTGTATCAGCAGTTTCTTATGTTATATATCTTGATACACAACAACAATAAACTGTTCTGGATCATTTTCTTTGGAACTAAATCCATCCTAGAGTCTAAACTTAATCAATCCATCTTCAAATTTTGTTTTCCATTTATTTATCTTGGACCTAAGTCATTCTTGATTTATCATAGATCTGCGACCCAGCTAGCAAGAAATAATTGGGCCAATGTTGGCCAAATGGATTGACTAAAATTGGCAGAGTGTTGGCATAATGCATTGGGTAATCACCGAAGTGATTATTGGCGCAAGATCCGACTAATGCTCATTGGCCAATACTATACTTTATTGACCTGTTGATTTTAAAATTGAGAAAAAAATCTTTGTTAAAGCATTTTTTAATATTTCATATGAATAACATGTAAACTATATTATTTTTACAACTACTAATTATAAAAATTGATTGCCGATAGAATCTTGGATTTTTTTTGACGTGATCGTTTACTTCCTTGTTCGGGATCACTTCTACCTCTTTCACGGTCACAGGACAGATTAAACTAAATCTTTAAAAGTTGTTTAGCACATGAAGTGGTTACGTCGCTTAATAACTTGTTCTTTTTAACATATAAGAAAAAAAAGTAAAATTAAATCTTTATTTATACTTTTCTATTTACAAATAAAAGTTATCTGTTTGCTAAATTTATTTAATCCATTTACTATTAAATTAAAGTATTTACTAGTTATTCTAAAATAAATTATACTTAATCTATTTACTTTTAAAAAATATTTTATAAGCTCATTTTTCTAAGTTTATAACTTGATATATATTAATAATATTTAGACCACAATATAAAAATTAATTTATATACAAAATAATTTCGATTAATTTTCAGTATTAATATTTTGTCAAATGCCGACATTAATTCCTTGGTTGTATAATTGTATATAATAATTTTTTTTACGGACAAAATAATACTCATAGTTGTTTACTACCAAGTAAAGTTGAATTATGATAGTGTATGACTTACTGACAATAAGAAAAGTTATACTTAAGTTACCGATTCCAACCATTTCACTCCTCCCAGCACCTCCAAGCTAAGTTTAAAGGAAAAGATCAGTCCTTTTGAGAAAATTATTTTTAATAACCTGCGTGTTGTATTTAAAATATTCTATGACGATGTGACAAAAGCTCGAGATCTCAAACCACAGCTGCATATTGCTTACCAAAATTTAATCTTTAAAAAACTCTAAAACTTTATAGCTTTTGGCTCGTTCTCTGCTCATAAGCCGGGATTTTACGTGAATGATAGTCGAATACTAATTGCTGCTTTCTTATCCTTAAAGCCACTTTTTCTTCCAAATCCTTTTGCTTGTTCGATTGATAGAGAGCTCTTGTATTGTTTTATGACCATATAGGCAGTAGTTTAGCTAGATTCAGATGCTTTAGCGATTGAAAGTGACGATACAGAAAGATTTTGTAGATAGTTATGAAGAATTTTTTTCGTTTTCTAAATGTTTCAATGACATTTTAATTAAGAAAATCATTTTAAATTGTTTGTTGACGTTTTTAATTAATACTATAATTACTTGATGTAATTACGCGAAAAAAAATAATTTAGTAAAGTGTTTGTGACAAGTTTTAAAACGAAATTCGTCGTTCCAAATTTAACGATCTCATGCTTTAGTATAAAGGTGAGTTTCTACTCATCCGTTTTTTTCACGGGAACGGGAAAGGGACGGGAAAAATAATCACGTGGGCATGCGTAGTATAAGTTTTAATATGTCTGATGGAAAACTACGCATGCTCACGTGATTATTTTTTCCTTTCCTATCCCGTTCCCGGATGAGTGGAAACTCACCTTTATTTAAATGATAGGAATAACCTTTGATCATTAAATCACGCATCAAATATTTAACAGCATAGTATCAGTATAAAAATACAATATAAAGCAATTTATGCAATATTGTAATGTTTTCATAAATAATTTACTTTTTTTTAAAAAAACATATTAAGAAATACTATTAAAATACCCAGCCGGAACATTAAGTTGTAAATGCGAATTTAAAACTTGTTTGAATACGCATCATTTTGAAATGTATGTTAGCCATTTTATCGTGTCAAACACACATAAGAAATACGCTTCAGATGCGCTTAAAAACGAGTATGCAATGCAAATCCTACTGAGTATCAAACTCGCATTTGAAACTCTTGTAAGTAAGCATAATACACAGTAATTAGATATTGTTCAATACGATGTTTTCTTGGTATTAAATGCACATTTAAAACTTTTCAGAATACGTGTTATTCACAAATTTATGATTTTACCGAATAGAACACGTACCAGAAATACGTTTTAAACGCTTAGATTATTATTTTCATAACAATCTTTATTACATGTATATACTAACGCGCACACGCATTGGCTCTAAAAATAATAACAAACAACTAATACTTAAAAATTTTATTAGATTAACTAGTACATTATAATATAATATAAATACATGTTATGTTCTTATTAACTCCAAATTTTTAAGTCTTTATAATATAATATAAATACATGTTATGGTCGTTTTGCACCAAAATCTTCTACTAGTATACTAATGTATTATTTACGTTGTGTTAAATAAATGTATTATTTCTTACAATTACTTTTGAGTTCCTAATAAACGCCCCCCCCCTCTCGTTTATTATTTTTTGGATATTTTTCCCACCCACCCTAAGCTTATTAAGACGTTTATTAATTTTTACTAGTTATCAACAAAAAAATTATATATCTCAAAAGTAAAAAAAAAAATTAGTGAAAATCAGCCTTAAAAATTTGAAAATAATTTTCAGTCACCCATAAAAACAAAAACTTTCAGTGTATATAGGTTTTCTGGATTTGCTAAAAATGAACTTTTAGTTTATTTCTCAACAAAGCTTTGGTTTTAATTATAGGATTTAATATGCTGAATATAAGTTTTATACTTTGCAAAGTATAAAACTTATATCAGCATATTAAATCCTATTGAAATTATGATAAAACAGCCTAACCCTACCCTAACAGCTGTTGGAAAATGCGCTTTTGACCGCAAGTCAAATGCGCATTTGACTTGAACATGATATACCTCCATTACAGTTTGCACTTATATGTTGGTATATGTAGTAATACTCTAGCAGAACAATGAATATTGTTCTGCTAGAGTATTACTACATATACCAACATATAAGTGCAATATCACGTTTATTAACATACCATAGAAAACTGTAAGTACAGCTTGTACTGATATGTAGCTCCCACAACAACAATAAAGTTACCAGAAGTATAGATTTATTCTATCTATACTGCTGGGTTTTTTTTGAATTCATTATCTATTATCACATATATGTGATAACTGATATATTACCGTTACAGTTTACACTGATGAGTTGTAAATGATAACACCATTTAATAATAGCAAATGATATCTGTGATAGTGCTTTAACTGAATAATATATTTTTTGACAATTTAATATTATATTAATGAACTTGGTAATATATACCATAATAGTATAATAATTATGCATTATATTTTATAAAATTATATTAATGAAAAAAGTATTGATACATGTGAAATGCTTTATCAAAAGGATATCTCTTCTGAAGAGATGTCGTTCTGCTAAAACATTTTACATAAATCACAAAAGCTATATGAAGACTTTTCATATAGCTTTCACTATATACCTGAATATATTCCTGACATAATATAGTTATTGATAATAATTTAAGACAATTTTAAAAGTTGCATAAATGAAATAAAGACTTTTTATTAAACTTCTTGCTTAATTTAGTTTTGATCTAATGATTTTAGTGTACGCATGCGCTCTGTACCTCAATTTTAGTTTTTCTGTTGAATGTTTATATTTAAACAAAGCCGGGCACGATTATACGTATTTTCGATTAAAAAGTGGTATTAAATTCATGTTTAAAACTTAAAACTAGAAACGCATTTTTCTGGTTTCAACAGCGATTTATACTACGTGATAAATACTCTGGCTATTTATAATACCAGATGTGCCGGCTGGGTATAATATTTTGTTGAGCACGAAATTGTTAAAATATTTTTTTTAATTATGTTTTGGCAAGACTGTAACTGTTAGAAAAAATATTAAAAAAAAAAAAGAAATTCAATAAATAATTGATTCAACAAATTAATTAAACAATAAATGAATAAAGTTTGTCTACAGTAAAAAAACAACAACACTAGAGACGAGAGCCGCTTGATTTTTTTTGATCCATAAACCTGGTGTAGAGTGTAAAATTTGATGCACAAGAGTGTCAGTCGTTGAGCAGAATTATTCTTTTTATAAGCGGACAACATGAGGTTTGTGTTGTTAGTAAAGTAAACATACATTATAGATGCGTGTCATGTATGACTCATAGATGGTGTAGATTTGTGCCTTATGGTACAGTATGAACACAAGAAGACCCCCAGCTTTCATCGGAGACTGATA